CCCGTGCACCCCCAGCCTGCTCGCTGCAGGCCAGCATGAGAAGCTGGACTGTCCTTGACTACTCAGCAACAACTCAAAACATCAGCACGTTATCAACATTTTCTCATCCCAAATCCAAAACATAGCCTCACGCTAGCTTCTATGAAGAAAATTAACGCTACCCTGGCTGAAACCAGGACAGCAACATACATGATGGTGTGTGGTGACCACCAGCCAAGTGTGCAGCTTGCTTGCTGAATGGCAGTGGCGGGAGCTTGGTGCATCCTGAAGTGGCATGTCCTGGCAGATTTGGGGAAGGGGAGCAGGAAGGCTGGGGAACAGGGACCTGTGGGGCGTCCTCCTTTTTGCTGGCTGAGCATGCCGTCCTTCTGCCCTTGCTTGCCCCTGTGCCTGCCTTGGTGCTGGGCAGCCCGGGGATGCCACTGTTTGTGCCCTTTGGAGGGCAGGACATGTCCAGCAGGAGTGGATGGGCCTGGAGATGTGTGGGGAAACACCAGCAGTTAATGATCAGAGCCGCTTCATCCTGGTGCAGGTGAGCTTGTGGGCTGCCTGCAGCTGTGGCTGCAACCCCCCAGCCCCACTGCCTGTTTCCCATGCCAAGGGCTGCCCTTCCTGCAGGGGCAAGAGAATGCTCCTACCCCAGCCATGGGTAATAGCTGGGTGGTCGCAGAAGTGCTGTGGGACTGGGCTCACCAGCCACTTACGTTCCTCAGGAGCAAGCTTGGCCCTGGCTGGAAGAAACCATCTCACTGTCCAGTGTGGCCACGCAGCTGGGAAAGAGGAAGCAGGCTGAATTGGCTCAGCAGTGTGCATCATTGTCACCAGCCAGGGCTGCTGGCTCAGCCTTCCCATCAGTGTGAGGCTGAGCCACCCGTGCCCCCAGTGCCTGCTGTGGCTGTGTATACTGGTCCCATGCCAGAGGACCTGTCCATAGCTGGGTCCGGCTTCTTACCGGGTTAATTTTTGACCTGGTTCCTTCTGCTGGTGTGCAAACGGAGCTGCTGCTGGCAGGCATTGTGGTAGCCTGGGACCTGCCTAGCTGTGCTGGCCGGGTGGGCAGCCCCGTGCCCATGGAAAGTCCCAGCAGTGGGGTGGTTTGCAGCTGATAAAGCTTCCTGCAGCCAGCTCCCAGCGCTGCTTCACTCACAGCCTGGGGGTGGTCTAGAGCGGGGCCTTTCCCAAATGAAATTTGGCATTGCTGTAAAAAAACAACAACAAAACCCAAACCTCATCCAGAGCCTCCCTTAGAAAGGGCACATTAAAAATGGTGAAATTGTTATGTTTGAAGATTTGTGGCTTGTTCTGGAAAGTTGTCATGAGTGTGCTGGCAGGCTGCTTCGATACTATTGAATTTTAGTTGATTTTTTGTTGTTGTTAAGATATAAAACCTCTGTAACTGTTCTTGCAGTGTTAAACTTGGCCGATACAAATATAGCAGTTACGTCATGTGATGGAAAACTTGCTCTCAGTGGTCCCAGCAATGACGCAGTTGTTCCTCAGGCTGGTGCAGCGCTGGCTCCCCTGCAGCTGTCCCTGCTTGTGCTGGTCCTGCCTTTAAGCAGAGCCCCAAGCCAGGAAACCCACCACTGCCGTGGTTTTGCTCACCTC